CATCTACACCTTTTTTCCCATATGCCGTACGAACTGAAGTCTCCATGATACGTTGATAGAGAAATAGATATTGAATTCGTGATGTAGTTAGTTCAAGTAAAGAAGCGATGAAGAAGGGCATACAATATATTTCAATGTAGATGTGCAACATATATATTCTCCTTTTACAGAAATAATATCATCTAATACACTATGCTCCCTAATATAGAGCTCCCATTCAACTGATGTCTTATATTTGGATTTGGTTCACAATTTTGTCTGCATCAACGATTTCTCAAGTAGCCCTCTCATTCAATTGAAGTAATCAATTTTTGATTTGTTCCATCATTTTGACTATGTCAATGATTTCTCAAATTAATCGATACAAAGTAGCCTAAAAACACATCAGTCGCGTGCATCCTCTCATCACCTACAAAAGAGAAGCGTCAACATGTGACACTGTAGCACCAATATAATACATTGCGGCCACCGGCGCAAGAAATTTCCCCACATAAGTATGAGCTGATAAGCAGATAAGACAAAATCACACTGTTAAGAAAACCCACCAAAACATCGCATTATATAAATGAAAATTATGTAATCCCAACAACAAAAATGGTGTAGCAAAGAGCCACAACCCTTCTAGTACATGTAATATTCGACGCAACTAGACACATACGAACTAAATGGGATGTTATTAGCTTCACCAACCTTCAATGCGACTAGACACGTACGATGTCAATAGGTTGTTGCCACCCCCGTGGCATCATCGCTACTTAATGACATGTCTTCCTCCAACTGAGTGCTCGTGATCGTTGCCGGTTCGTCAAATTCCACGGGGATCCATCCGCCTTCTGGGTGCCACACGAAGGTGGGCTTCACTAGTGGCACATCTGATGGGGGCGCAGATTTTGCATCGATCTGCACCACCTCAGCCATGCTTGGGCGGTCTGACGGGTTAAGGTTGGTGCATGCCAACCCAAGAAGTAGCAAGCGGTTAGCAACGTCAGGGTCGAACTGTCCGTGCACCTCATCATCCACGGCTTCAAGCAGCCTTCCCTCCTGGTGAGCTGTTCAAACCCGGTCAGTGAGCAGTCGAAAGGACTCATGGTAGCCATGGAGTGCCCGCCTTCCGGTGACGACCTCCAGGATCAATACCCCGAGTGCGTAAATGTCAGTTCCGCGTGTGGCCCTATGGCTCACCGAGTACTCCGGCGCGATGAAGCCCCAAGTCCCCGCAACACCGATATCTGTGTAGGAGTTCTTTTCCAGGGAGGTGACAATACGAGCGAGGCCGAAGTCACCGAGGCGCCCATGGAAGGAAGAGTCGAGCATGATGTTGCTCGCCTTGATGTCGCGGTGGAGCACCACGTGCTCGTGCTCGTGGTGGGACGTAGTGGAGCCCCGCGGCGACATCCATGATGACGTCGTAGCGGGCGTTCCATGCTAGGAGCGCAATGGTGTTCTGTGGGTTCTCACTTGCGCGAAACAGGTGTTGGTCCAGGCTGCCATTTGGCATGTACTCGTAGATGAGCAGGAGTTCACCTTTCTGATAGCACCAACCTGAAAGAAATTAATATTAAAAAGAAATGTTGAAATATATACTCTCTCCGTTTCAGTTTCATGCTTTTGAGATTTAACTTTTATCATTAATTAGATCGAGCAAATAATATAGTCCCTCTGCATCAAATTATAAGACACCATGTATCAAAAAGATCTTATATTTTAATACAAAGAGAGTATAAGTCTTCCCTAAAAAAAGGAGTATAAGTCATATGTTTCAAATATGATTTCTATTTTTGTAAGCATCACCTATGTTTCATTGGTTAAATTAATGGACAAACTTGAAGGGGGGAATAGGAAGAGTGCATGGCAAAAAATGATTGATTGGTGAAGAAATTTCGTGCCAACAAGCGGCACGATATTTCAGTGATGCAGACGGTTGATGACATCGACCTCTGCGAGGAAGTCGTCATAGCAAGAGTAAATTGCACAAAACCACCACTTTGAAGGCTAGGTTTGCGAAAAACACTACAATACATTTTTTTGCAGAAAACACCATGTCTACGGTAATCTTTTTGCAAAAATCACTGATCGGCGGATCTTGCGCTGTTAAGTAAGATTATGACAGATAGGTCCCATTTTTCGCTGACGTGGCATAACATTTTACCCAAGACATCGTTAGACGGGTAAAAAAGCTAAAACACCCGCAAGTTTTTCCCCATGTGCTGCCCAAGCCCTTGCCATGTCCTGCCACATAGTCAGCTGCCTCGATGGCGCCGGTCACCACCATCCGCCAGCCGCCGCCGTGCTCACCTTCCTGCCTCGCCGCGCTCTAGCCTCTGCCAGCTCCGCCCGCCTCTGCTCAACCGCGCCACCGCCGCCATGCACCGTCCAGGCGGGTAAGGGCCGACCTCGAGCAGGCCCCGACGCTCCCCGCGCCCCTCGATAGGAGCTGCAGATGGCGGTGCGCGCACGCGCTCCAGGCGTCGCACCTCCGGCGAGGGATGTCGCGCTCCTCTGTCGCCCCGTTCTGCCCCCAGCGCCGCCACATCCGGATCCGGCGAGGGAGGCCGCGCCACCGCCCCGATTTGGCCTCCGCGAAGAGATGCCCATCGACGGTTGCCGGATCCGGCGAGGTATGCCACGCCGCCGCCCCGATTAGCCTCCAGCGCGAGGATGCGCCCAGCGCCGGCTGCGGGATCCGGCGAGGGATGCCGTCGCTGCCCCGATTTGGCCTCCTCCGCGAGGAGGTGCCTAGCTCAGGCTGCGTTGACCGCCCCAACCTGTGGCGAGGATCTGATTGCATTTTTTCTTTTTGCTTTAGGGGTGTCTGTGTGAAATGTATGGACTAGTTTGTAAAATTAGATTAAAATTGACCTAGCATGAAATTTTACGCCACGTAGGCAAAAAGGGGCCCCAACTGTCATAAGCGTGCTTAACAGAGCCAAATCCGCCGATCGGTGGTTTTTGCAAAAAGATTACTGAAGACATGGTGTTTTCTGCAAAAAAAAATGTATTGTAGTGTTTTTCGCAAACCTAGCCTTCAAAGTGGTGGTTTTGTGCAATTTACTCTCATAGCAGCGGTCATCATTACGCGTGAACTTCTTCACTGCCACATCGATGTCGATGCGTGTCTTGGCCGTCCCTGACCCCGGGGAGCGCAGTGTTCCCCTGTACGCGGCTCCAAAGCCTCCTTTACCTAGCTTCCTTGCTTGGTCAAAGTTGTTGGTGGCCTTCCTCACGGTGGCGTACTTGAACTCCCTGGGCGTCCTGGGAAGTGTTGATGGTATAATTTGGCTACTTACTATATGATGAGCCAAATTAAATCAATTATTTATTAAGCTGATCGGTCAATGAATTGCTAAACTGTTGCCACATGAATTTTCATGGAAGGTGAAGATACAAGTTCTATGAAGAATCATATAAAAGATAAAGCCAAAGGTCCAAGATGAAACAAGCCAACTTTGGTTGCTAATCATTGTTACAACTACTGTACTAATGATACCTCCTGATATGTGATCTCCTGTTGTCTCAACGAAGACAACATTTTTTTTATCAACCGTGTCCTAAAATTTAAACTAGGTGCTGGATGTAAACTGTGGCGTTGTGGTGTGCGCCCGCGGAGATCTCAATGGATTAACGGATTAACGGATTCGGTGAGCACCGCGGAGATCTCAATGGATTAACGGATTAACGGATTAGTCGGTCGGTAGTCACGGGAGCAACCTCCAGGAAATCTCGTTGTACTTTCTGACTTGGACAGCCAAAACGCGTTGAACTTTCTGACTTGGACAGCCAAAACGCGTGCACTCCTTTTAATATCTGTGTTGTATCTTGTACGTGGAGCAGGACTAAGTTGACATTTTTTGGAGCGAGTGTAGTCCTAAAAAAACGTCTTACATTGTTCTAAAAACCGTCTTACATTATGGAACGAAGGGAGTAGCTGTTTATTTTCATCCCTTAACTTATCGACACTTGCGGATTTGATCCCTCGACCTCATCGGCAGCGTGGTGTGACCGTGTGAGAGCAAGACCCTTTTTTCCATATGGACCATGTCTTTCAATAGCACTACCAGGCACTACCATGTGACTATTCCAGTTAAGGAACGAAATGTATACTTATCTCTTTATAACTAATAAAGTCTGTCTCATATGAACAATTAGCTAGCTATATGGTACTCCCTCCGCTCGGAATTACTGGTCCAAGAAATGAATGTATCTAGATGTATTTTAGTTGTAAATACATCCTTTTTTGTGACAAGTAATTCCGAACGGAGGGAGTAGATGCCATCTACACCTTTTTTCCATATGACATACGAACTGAAGTCTCCATGATACGTTGATAGAGAAATAGATATTGAATCCGTGATGTAGTTAGTTCAAGTAAAGAAGCGATGAAGAAGGGCATACAATATATTTCAATGTAGATGTGCAACATATATACTCTCTTTTTACAGAAATAATATCATCTAATACACTATGCTCCCTAATATAGGGCTCCCATTCAATTGATGTCTTATATTTGGATTTGGATCACAATTTTGACTGCATCAATGATTTCTCAAGAAGCCCTCTCATTCAATTGAAGTAATCAATTTTTGATTTGTTCCATAATTTTGACTATGCCGATGATTTCTTAAATTAATCGATACCAAGTAGCCTAAAAACACATCAGTCGCGTACATCCTCTCCTCACCTACAAAAGAGAAGCGTCAACATGTGACACTGTAGCACCAATATAATACGTTGCGGCCACCGGCGCTAGAAATTTCCCCATATAAGTACGAGCTGATAAGCAGATAACGGAAAATGACACTGTTAAGAAAACTCACCAAAACATCACATTATATAAATGAAAATTATGTAATCCCAACAACAACAATGGTGTAGCAAAGAGCCACAACCATTCTAGTACATGTAATATTCGACGCAACTAGACACATACGAACTAAATGGGATGTTATTAGCTTCACCAACCTTCAACGCGACTAGACACATACGATGTCAATAGGTTGCTGTCACCCCCTGGCATCATCGCTACTTAATGACATGTCTTCCTCCAATTGAGTGCTCGTGATCGTTGCCGGTTCTTCAAATTCCACGGGGATCCATCCGCCTTCTGGTGGCCACATGAAGGTGGGCTTCACTAGTGGCACGTCTGATGGGGGCGCAGATTTTGCAACGATCTGCACCACCTCAGCCATGTTTGGGCGGTCTGACGGGTTAGGGTTGGTGCATGCCAACCCAAGAAGTAGCAAGCGATTAGCATCGTCAGCGTCGAACTGTCCGTGCACCTCATCATCCACGGCTTCAAGCAGCCTTCCCTCCTGGTGAGCTGTCCAAACCCAGTCAGTGAGCAATCGGAAGGACTCATGGTAGCCATGGAGTGCCCGCCTTCCGGTGACGACCTCCAGGATTAATACCCCGAGTGCGTAAATGTCAGTTTTGCGTGTGGCCTTATGGCTCACCGAGTACTCCGGCGCGATGAAGCCCCAAGTCCCCGCAACACCGATATCTGTGTAGGAGTTCTTTTCCAGGGAGGTGACAATACGAGCGAGGCCGAAGTCACCGAGGCGCCCACGGAAGGAAGAGTCGAGCATGATGTTGCTCGCCTTGATGTCGCGGTGGAGCACCATGTGCTCGTGCTCGTGGTGGACGTAGTGGAGCCCCGCGGCGACATCCATGATGACGTCGTAGCGGGTGTTCCATGCTAGGAGCGCAACGGTGTTCTGTGGGTTCTCACTTGCGTGAAACAGGTGTTGGTCCAGGCTGCCATTTGGCATGTACTAGTCGATGAGGAGGAGTTCACCTTTCTGATAGCACCAACCTGAAAGAAATTAATATTAAAAAGAAATGCTGAAATATATACTCTCTCCGTTTCAGTTTCATGCTTTCAAGATTTAACTTTTATCATTAATTAGATCGATCAAATAATATAGTCCCTCTGCATCAAAATATAAGACACTGTGTATTGAAAACATCTGATATTTTAATACAAAAAAGAGAGTATAAGTCTTCCCCTAAGAAGGGAGTATAAGTCATATGTTTCAAATATGATTTCGGTGCTACTCCATCCGTTCCTAAATATAAATCTTTAGAGAGATTTCACTATGGACCACATACGGAGCAAAATGAGTGAATATACACACAAAATGCATCTATATACATCCGTATGTGGTCCATAGTGAAATACCTATAAAGACTTATATTTAAGAACGGAGGCAGTATTATTTCTGTAAGCATCACCTATGTTTCATTGGTTAAATTAATGGTCAAACTTGAAGGAGGGAATAGGAAGAGTGCATGCCAAAAAATGATTGATTGGTGAAGAATTTTCCTACCAACAAGCGGCACGATATTTCGGTGACGCAGACGGTTGATGACATCGACCTCTGCGAGGAAGTCGTCGTAGCAGCGGTTTTCTTTACGCGTGAACTTCTTCACCGCCACGTCGACGCGTGCCTTGGTCGTCCCTGAAACTGGAGAGCGTAGTGTTCCCTTGTACACGGCGCCAAAGCCTCCTTTGCCTAGCTTCCTTGCCTGGGCGAAGTTGTTGGTGGCCTGCCTCACGGTGGCGTACTTGAACTCCCTGGGCGTCCCGGGAAGCCGCCGGAGAGCCTCGGATAGCTTCAGCTCCATCTTGAGGGCCTTATACCTCGAGTTGAAGTAGAAGGCCGCGGCGACGATCATGGCGGCCGTTACGGCAACCGTACCAATGACCGCCGGGAGTATCACCTTCCATTTCTCACCGTGACGGTCATCGCCGGGGAGCTTTTCAATCGACAAGTTCCAGCTCATGATGCAGTGCAGCTCGTAGTTTGCCCCCGTCGACGCGGAGAAACCGATGTAGGCTCTCTGTGGGAGATGAAAGCTGATGTTGAGCGGCGCGTCAAGGACGGCATGCTCTGGTCTCTCCTGGCCCTGGGGAGCCATGTATACCCATATGTGGTGCCCCACGCCGCTGTAGACGATCCACACGGTGTAATTCGTCGGTTGTACTTCTGTTGTCTTGATCGTAAGGTTGCCAGGCAGGACCGAGGACAGCGGCACGGCGGGGTCGGAGACGACGCTGCCGATGTTGAGGCCGACATGGTTGTCGTCAGGGTCGTACGGCTGCTTGGCCGTGTCGAACTCGACGGCGACGAAGTTTCTGGAAGTAGACTTTGAGGTGGTGTTTGTGAGTCCGAGGAATCCGCCATGGCTGCCCGGCGGAGGGCCATCGAGGGAGGTGGCGATGACGAAAGCAAGGCCCTCGCCATTCGAACTCATATCTTCTCGGAAGACATTCATGTCGAAGGAGGTGTTGAAGGAGGCGGCGTGCCTCACCCCGAGCGAGTCGACGCGCCACAGCGTGACCGGGGACACGAGGAGAACGGACCCGGACCTGTTGACAAGGAAGGCAACGTTGTTTCTGGTGTCTGGAGTCAGCTGGAGGGCTCCCCCATTTATGCTTGCATCCTTGAGCGGCGCCAAGGCAGTGCTCGCGAGACTTCTATTGAAGGAGGGGAAGCTGTAGTAGACGATGTCGTCCCTATTCTTCAGCTCCTCATCGCAGCAGCTGCACGAACGCGCAGCTAGCGACGGGGAACAGGATGCAGTATAGCAAAGCAACGCCACCGCCGTACAGAAGCACGCAAGCCATGGCTGCCCTCGTGTTAGTGCACTAATTGCTGGCATATTCGATGTGGATCAGGACTAGTCTAGTTAGCTATGTATCTTGCGGGATGTGCGCAGGGCTAAGCTATGGTATTTGAAATCTCCATTCCTGCTGGACGTGGTCTCTTCTCTAGCTGTCCTTATATAACCTTTGCTTGCGTTGCGTGCTAGTAGTATTCCTTAGGCCGCGCTTGAAATTGATGTATTTAAATACGCAGGTATTTTACCGGGTAACTTACCGGGCTAGTAGCCATTTCCGCCTGCCTCGAGCGAAACGATGGCCGGAGGCGTGTATTGTTTATAGGTGTAGTAATTGCTAAGCGAAACGACAATCCAACATTAATAGTCGCGGTGTGTCAGTCAGATTGACAGTTTTGCCTGCGAATTAGCTAGAGACGACTCTGACCTGAGAATAGTACATTAAAATGCCTTATCGCTTACTGAGAAAGCACGCGTGAGTTGCCGTGTCCCAGCAGTGAGAGGATTTTAATCGCTCTGTTTGGTTTCTATTAGGACCAGTTATTTTCTGTGGTACTTTATCTCTATCTATTTTTAATAGACGAGTTGGTTGAATAGTCCTACCACTTTTGTCTGGTTTTTTTCGTTCGGTTTATTTTCGTCTCACCTCCCACCACCACTTTCACGTTAATTTTTTCTTCTCCACACTTAAAACCGAATCATGTCTGATACTCCTTTCATTTATTCGTGCTTGCTTTGGCAGGTGTCGATTCAATTCAATAATGTAAATATTTGATAATTAAGAATTCAGAAATAATACCATATACAGGAGGTCACTTTCCAAACAAATCACCTCCCTCTCCGATTTATTTCTCCCACCGATCTCCTTCCATACTTAGCTCCGCTCGGAAAAAAACACAACCGTCGAAGCCACCAATCTCTTTCCATACTTAGCTCCACTGGAAAAAAAACCCGTCGAAGCCATGCCCTCACGTGATCACGTATCACAATGAGTCAAAGGAGGAGTGTGCGGTGGTGATGGTAAGTCTTGTACTAAGTTGTGAGGGTTTGAAGGCGTGAGGAGGAGTCTCCGATTTATTTCTCACACCGATCCCCTTTCATACTTATCTCTACTCCTAATGTCTCAACTTAAGTCGTTTGTTAGCATCGTCTGTTTCTCTTCCATCGATCTACCCCCGCCACCAGGCGATCTCCCTCCCACCGTTTTTTTCCCTCCCTCCGAAAACCAAGACCGGTTTTAATTCATGCCCAGAAAAACCACACCAATCCTTCCATCCTTCCATCAATTCCACCATTCCATACTAGAAGAACGCCCGTGCGTTGCAACGGGACCACATTAACTTTAAGAGTTCAATATTACGACATTGGCGACCTTTTTAACCATCAAATCCTCACACACACAGACACACACTCTCCCTCCCTCTTCCTCACTCTCTATCCCCCTCTCCCTCTCTCTCTAACACACACACACATATCCATCTTATTGGGTACGGAACCATAATCCATCTATTTCACACATACACGCTAGTGCATAACAATATGGATTATGTGTATTATATTTGCCACCAGAACTGAGGGAATTAATTTCATGTAAATCGACCAGTCACAGCTCCAAGAATACGCGGACGAGGTGGCTCGGGTCGGCGTCGGCGCCGTCCAGCGCGGGCCACGGGCCCTCTTTCAAGTGCACGTGCAATGCACGTCTTCACAAATATTATAACCAGATGTGAGAAATCACATGCATAGAAAAGACATTCTGATAGCAATTCAAATACCATACTCAATTGAATACCTAACCTGGACAATACTCTTATTTTTATGCGCCAGAAAAAATGGAAGAGCAAAGCTAAGTATGCCTACATACGCTCAGATTATATATAAAAATCTTGGGTGAACAATTGCAACAAAGCACTAAGCAGCGATAAATTTAAATAAAAAAATCCATTAACTATGCAGGCAGCAGGCTTGTTACAACATAGAGAGATAGGAAAATGTCACCTCCAGTAATGTAGCGCAAAGGAGTGGAACGAAGTATGAATGAGCGGTTGTCTGTTCTTCTCCATGTACATGGATCAACAGTAGAGGCCAAGTATATAAGTACTTGACTGAACTCCACTCTTCGAGTACGGAGAGCCATGTCACCTTCTAGCCGCTGCAGCATGGGAGGACGGCTGGTTCACGTGACCCTCCAGCTGGGGGATCCATGGTGGCTGACCGTCGAGCTCGAGGCAGAGAAGTTGAGGGCAGCAGTGGCGAGATCCATGCCGGCCAACCGGGCGAAGAGGAGGTCGTCGGGGAGGGACACATCGGCAAGATCCGGTCACCACGCGACCTGAAGAGCAATAGTGACATCCACAAGCTGCAGGCCGACGGCGTGCTCCATCCCCTGCGATGGGATGACCATGGTGGTGGTCACAGCTCCTCATGCTCGCCTCGATCTCGGTGACACACCCTGAGTGTAGGAGGCAGCAACGACCTCGACGAAATCATGGCCTCCATCCCGGAACGCATGAAGGACCTCGGCCCCGTCGCTACTCCTCCCGCCATAGCCGCACGCGGCAGCGGATCGTGGGTAGGAGGGCAGGCGGCGTCGCCTCGGCTGACGGCAGGGAGCAGCATTGTTTCGGGTAGGTGGCATCGCGAGGACGGCCGCGTCCGCGGGGAAGCACCCCGATCATGCTGCCAGGCCAATCCTTCTCCTCCGATCCCCTATCCCCGAAGATTGCGCCGCCGCCCCGGTCGTGTTGTTTCATATATTATGCCATTTTTTCCTGTACCTAAAGAAATGCGGGCGAGCGGATGGCAGAGTTTTGGTCCGCCCTCTAAAATTGCTAAACGCACTTTTGGTGAGGATTATTGTTAATAAATGAATTCAATCATGTCGCTCTAAATAAATGGATTCAATCATGTGACTCTAATTACTTCGGATTGTTATGTGCACACTAAGCGGGGTGCAGTTAGGAAAGAAAATGTTTTCTAATTAAAGTGATTGAGTGATTTAAGGTAAGGTTAATTGATTTAGATTTGATTTTTAGTGATTGTTAGTAAAGTATGATGCGTATTTAAAATCTTTTATTTGTTTCCTTATAATTTATTATTTATTTCCTAAAGAAATTTGCAATAATGGAAGGTATCGTTTGATTTGGATAAGTTAGTAAATTTAGATCCGTGATTGCGTGCACGTTTGGAAAGTGCTGATTTGCAAGGAAAGAGCTGAGGGGTAAATAAACCGATGAATAAGAAACCAGCATCGAAAAAAAATCTACGACGGTTAATCTACGAAAAAAAACCGGACGAAAGTGGTGGGACGAAAAAAAACCTGGAAGCGAGACTACCAACTGCTCCATTAAAAATAAAGATAAAACACCAATCCTTTCATCCTTCCCTTCCATATACCAGGCCAATCAAATCATATCGACGCCTCAGACATCGCGGCGCCTCCGGCCTTCGCTGCCACGAAGCCTTCCATCGGCGCACGACCTAAATGGCCAGTCCACATCCCAATGGCCGCACCATGCCGTCCCGATCCTGAGACCTTCGTGCTCGACAACGACCACCGTCGAGCCTCCTTTCCCTCTCCCTCCTCTCCCTGCAGACCTCCGGCCGTCCTTGAGGGGGGCAGCAGGGGCGGCCGCCCCGGACCCCCGTAGGATGCAGCAGCGTGTACGCCATGGCCCAAGGAGGCAGCTAATCACGGGCATGCAGACTTATGATCCGGATGGCGATTGCCGATCGCGCGAGTTCTCCATGCAGCCCTCGTCATTTTCTTTTTCCTAATTTCCTATCGTGATTAGCACCATGCATAAACAGCAGATCACGGGTACGGCTGCTGCATACTAATCTGCATACCTAATCGGGTTGATCCTGTTCGTCATGCATGTAGCCCACGTCCTTGTACTCCTTTTCTTCTTCCTAATTTCAATTGTGAGTTTGTTAATCCCGGGCCCTGATTACGAGTCAGAGATGCGACGCTGCTTCGCTCCCGTCTCCAGGCGCTCGATGCACTCAAGAACATGGACTTCGCCGAGCGCCTCCGGCCACACACAAGCGGCCGCCGGGAATAATGACAATAGCAGACAAGGAATTGCCTAGGTTGGATCGGAATTGATCAACTAATTTCGGATTGATGGTCTATAGATCAAGGGTAACCTCTTTTCTAATATTATTTAGTTCCTTTTTTGGGAAAAATATTTAGTTTGTCGATCGAAGACAGAATTGTTATTGATATCTGAATCATCGAACAAGATTTAGTGTTTTAAAAACTGACACTATTTCATATATAATTTTGAGATGACACCAACATTAAAGTATGGGCTACACCAGATGGCTTCGATGCTGCTTTAGCTGCTTCTAAGTATGGGAGGTCATCTGCTTATTCTCCAGTGAACAGTTTGAATAGGTATATTTTTCTAGAATAGGTAAAACTTTAAAATGTGAAGTTCTTTATGGTTATGCTAGAGATCCATTTGTTATGATAATAAGTGGTGGCTCTTTTTTCCTGTGGATTAAATTTGCAACTACTGTAGTTCTTAGATGTCTCAATTGCAAGCTATGACATTGTTAACTTGGAGTATATCTTTGAAATTTGCCAGTTTACTTATTAATTGTTTTTAATTTACCTGTGCCATGTTGATGGTGGTTTAATATAGTGGATTAAAATTTGTAAAACTTGTTATTTTCCCCATAATAAGTATATGCACTTTGGAGTACTTTTGCCACTAATTCTTTCATTTTGTTGAAGCCACAGGTCAGCACCATTGCCTTGTTCATATGAGTACAAGATCAATGGTTATGTACAGATGAAACAATGTGTGTACTGGAGGGGGAACATGATCACCAAAAGAAACAAAATATGCAGGGACACGACCCAGCGTAAGAGTTATTCACCTGTGCTAAACGACGATCCTTGTTCAGCTATAGAGCTCTTCATTTCTCTTCTCCAGATCTATAGAGTTTCTACAAGTGTTTTTGCAATATATCAAGTTCAGGGATCTATCAGTTGACAAGAGATTTTCTGCACGTGTTTTTGTTAAACGATGATC